CCTATATCGAACGCGCATTCGTCGTCGCTCTGCTCCTCCTCATGCTTGTTCTCTCTTGCTATCTAAGCAGTATGCTATTGGGAGGCAATTTGATTAAAATATATGCGAAAAGCTTATGTTATCCAGGATGAGAACCAAAAAGGTTTCGAACTTGATTGTGCCAAAGTGGAAATTAATTTTTACATATAGGAAGCAAACGTTTACAGAGCGAATACCAATCAAGAAAGTAAAATGAATTCCTTAAAGTCACAAGTATGAAAACAAAGGGAAAACGCTATGAGTATAATTTTTGATACCCAGGATAACCTTCTGGACGCATTTGGACTTTTTGTAGGCATTCGAGGTTTTTTGTGCCAAAAAGCCTATTTTTTAACTACTAAGGTGAATTTCTCAAAAATCAAAATCCTAAATAAGATGTATCAGTGTGATATTTTACTTTATACTCACGATAATCAGGATGGTAGAAGGGTACTCATTTGTAGTTTTTTAGTCATAGATATAGTAACACGTTTTAATGCTAGACATTTATTATTATCAAGAAATAGTTTAGAAATCTAGAATGCGATCAAAGAAATATATGAGGATCCTTCTAATCCTCTTACATAGTTAAAATTATTGATGACTAAAGGTGATGCTTCATTCTGAGATGCATTTTTATGAGGGATGAAACAGTACAATGTCCTGATACGTGTCATCGACCTTTATAGTTTTGAGAGCCTAGCTTTGATTAAAGCATTTAAAAAAAATCTAGCAAAATTAATATATAAGGTCTAATATGCTATAGAGAGACGATTGGCTGAAGGAAAATGATCAAGACTATGGAATAAAATTCTTATGAAGTACATTGATTTTATAAATAATAGTAAAACTCGTCTTATCAGAATGGCATCAGCTCACGCTATGACTTTAGAAGAAGTTGTATCAAAGTCCTCTAAGAAAGCTAAGTAGGCAATTGGATGATACAAAGAGATAAAGTTAAAAAAGAGTATAGCGGTTAAATATCTATTGAAATCTGATGAGCTAAAAGATGATCACAGGTATCAGACAACTGAACCATACTAGTTGTTACTTGTTTATAAGATCAAAAGAGTCATTGTCAGAAGAAATCCATCACAACCAGTCTTATATTATCTCGAGGGTGAACTAATTGAATTAACTGCCCATCTGATGGAGCAGAATCCAAAAAGACCCTTTAAATATAAGGAGCTCCAAGTGATTGAGGAACCTGATAAAATTAAGTATCCACCTAATGGATTTATGTGAAAATATCATCTTACTGGATTTGTCCATTATATTCAAATTACTAATGATAATTTAATCGAAGCTCATCAATATGCTGAAAAACGTGGTGACCAATGTCTAAGAAGAACTAGGCGAGTAAATGATCATAATTTTTATCTTTGATCCTATGAGAATAATGCGCATCAGTAGGAATATCCACTAAAATATATTGTGAAAAAATTTGAATAGTGGTCTTCTATGCCATCATACTAATGGTGAACGTCAATGCTGATATATTTTTGAAGATATACTAAGCAAGAAATTTCTACCATGTAGGCTGAATTTTTTACATAGAATGCAACTTGATAGATATAACGAAGAGTTGCAACTAGGATTCGAATTTCACAGCTGATAACACTATAGTCTTAATTCAATGTTTATAGGAGAGGTCAGATAGATTTAGATAAGCAAAAGTCACGAGATCAAAAAAGCGAAATATTTGCAAGGAGCAAGGTATATGCCTTATCGAAGTTCTATATACCACTAATCTTTTTCCCTATATCAAACATATATTAATCAAGAAAGGATTCTTAGATGTGACGAAATGATCCTAAAAGGACCAACCAAATCTTTAAAAACTTATGTGGTTTTGAATAGTGTTGTTAATCAGCGCAAAAGTCTGACCTTGAAAGACCAGCTACCGGACATAAGATCCAGTTAGGTATGGCAAAATTAAGTCAATTAACAACACTAGTTTTGAGCAAACTTGGTTCACTGAAATTTCACTAAGAAATTTTACTTCACTTGATATAATATTAATAATACTTAGTTTCGATAATATGAAAGTCGAAAAGCTTGATTCAGCAGAAAAAATCATTCTTCATGTAGATGAAGTTAAAGATGCAAAAAGGTTTAATAGATTGAATTCAACTCCTCAATGGCCCTTTATATTACTAATCAGTAATCATATCAATTCAGGAAAAACTAATAAAGTCGTAAATCTATTATTAGGGAATAAGCTTTATTATATATTTAATGGTAAAAAGGAGGAACATGCTATATAAAAAATGACGATTTGGTTCTTATCAGTCACTATCTCAAAGAGCTAAAATATTTATATCTCAATGATTTTTTACATTGATTGATATTAAAATAGAATTATATAAAAAATAAATATGCCTGCTAAATTATCTTTAGAAATTGCAAAGTAGATTGCAAAGGAGTAGGGAGGAGATTGCCTTTCCAAAGAATATGTTAATTGCATAATTCCAATGGATTGGATCTGTGAAAAAGAGTATACTTGAACTACCAGTCTTAATAGTATAAAAATAATAAAACTTGATGCCTATTTGCAAAGATACCCGATTAACCATTTTAGTTGCTAAAGAGTTAGCTTTGAGTCGAAGTGGAAAATGTCTTTCAGAGAATTATATTAATAATCGTACTCCTTTGCTATAGATATGCAAAAATCATCATCAATGGTATTCGCCTTTTTCTCAAGTTAAAGACTCTGGACATTAGTGTCACAAATGCAATTATAATAATATTGAAGTTGCAAAAGCATTAGCTCATATTAGAAATGGAGAATGTCTTTCTTCAGAGTATTTTGATAATAAAAGTCCTTTACAGTGAAAGTGTGTTAAGGGGCATATATGGATTGTGAACCTGAATAAAATAAAAGATTACAACCAGTGGTGTTCTACTTGTAGTGGGTGAAATCAAACTATATTTGATATGAAAATTCTAGCACAAAAAATAATGGAGAATATCTTTCAAATCAGTATTATGATGCACATACAAAGTTTTTATGGTGTTGCAAGAATTTTCATATATGGGAAGCTCCTTCACTAACTATTCTGAAAGGTAGCTGGTGCCGATACTGTGTTGATACTGCAAAACTTAATAATGAAATTGCTAATCAAATTGCATTATCGAGACAGGGCCAATGCCTTTCAGTGGAATACAAGAATATAAGTGCATCACTTCTATGGGCTTGTCAATATAATCATCAATAGTGGTCCTCACTTAGTAGTATAAAACATTCTGATACATGGTGTCCATACTGTACAGGTATGACCAAACATACTCTTGATGATGCTAAACAAATTGCTCTCACTTAGGGTGGTAAGTGTCTTTCAACAGAATACAAAAATAATAAATCTCCTTTATTATGGATCTGTAAAAATTAGCATAAATGGTATGCAAAATTTGATAATATTGTGAATAAATGCTCATGGTGTCCGTATTGTAGTAAGTATAAACGTAAAAATCTATGTCGTCAAATCTTAACAAAATATTTGGGCCCTCCATCAGAAAATCGTAAGCCTGATTTCTTAAAAACACCAGAGCATTCAATGGGGCTACAACTTGACATTCCTTATTATCACTATGGTTTTGCAATTGAAGTACAAAGAGAACAGCATGATAAATATATAGAATTCTTTCATAGAGGAGACCCGAATAATTTCATCAAACAGCAAGAGCGGGATCAACTCAAGAAAGAATTATGCAAAGAAAATTGCATCGAACTAAAATATGTTTGGTATTACAAAGATCCGCATATAGTTATTCCAGAGTATCTTCGAGAATTGGGTCTTATACAGTAGAATAAATATGAAACTTTAAATGTGTATATTTCATTAAAATCCTTATTTTTTCGATATAGTAATTTTATGCTAAGCCCAATCAAAATGAGAAAAATGGAGTATTATATATACCATCTTAACGAAACCAAAAATTCAAAGAATATGAATCACCTTGCCAATCCTGCGTTTCCTTTTCGTTGGTTAATTTGCGGTGGATCAGACAGTGGAAAAACCAATATGATTCTTAATCTTCTTCTTGGAAATAAAATTCAACGTTTGTTCAAGGAAAAGAAAGGGGAGCTGTATGTCAAAAATGATGATCTAGTCTTAATCAGAAAGCATATCCATGAGCCCAAATGGGTATTAGTGAAAAACTGTTACGAAATTTTTTTGAAGGGCCCAAAAACATATCGGGAGAACGTGACATTTCGTGCATTAAAAGCAGATGCAATTCCAGATATAACTAAGTTCTCACCAGATAGAAACACTGTTGTAGTCTTTGAGGACCTTTGCGCTGAATCAAAGAAAATTCAGGACCGGATTGTTCCATATTTTATCAGTGGCCGACATCAAGGTGTATCAAGCATATATGTGAGCCAGAAGTATACACAAACTCCTAAAATTATTCGTGAGAATATCACGCATTTAACCCTTTTTCGAGGGGCGGGAAGTCGGGATGATATAGCCAGAATCGTACGTCAGTATACAGATAACTCTAAAAAAGCTTCCAAGATTATTGACAAACATTTGCGAGATCAGAATTTTGTGGTCTTCGATTTTACTAAAACAACTGATGATCCTCTCGCAACTAGATTAGGTTGAGATATACCCCTGAAATTGGACAAATAAGGTTTAATTCTGTCTTTTTGTATATATGCATTTTATAAATATAATGTGCGTATTATATATATAGTAAGGTCAATTCATGAAAATTAAACCCGGATTGCGAGCAAACAACTTTATTAATATTGAAAAAGAAAGAAACAGCTGATATAGAATATAATTAGTTGATTAATATTACGTAAATATATGTTCTATTAACAAGTAATATCTTATTTGATAGTTATTTGAACTTCACAATTTTTTTGAACGATGGTGTTCCAAGTGTTGATCGACGCCATCCTTTAAAATTATCATTACTCTCAACTTCTTCACTTTTATTCATAATTGAGAGGATATCCTTTATTGTTTTTTCATACGCTATCTAGAGGAACAGTTTTGAATTAGTCATTTATACAAGTAATATTGATATTCCTAAGTTATACCTGAAATGCAAACAGCGTATCCAGACCAGTTAGAAACGTATTGCATACTTCGAAAGATCTTGGAAGATCTACACTACCAGTGTCAATCAAAACGTAAATCCCTGGGCTAATTAATGTCATCATATAACCGGTCCACTTTGTCACTATTTATTACATGAAGAATCGTTAATTAGGTAGGATAAGTTAGTTAAAACAAGCGTTCCTGGAAGACCAGCTTACCAATAACTTGCCAACCGAAAATCCGATTGACACCGGTCTTACGCGAAATATTATCAAGGGAATCTTTCATAAATATCCCCAATCTAACCAGGTCGATTAGATTCTTTTTTTCCGTGTTATTTTTTCCTTCTCCCGTCACCTCACCGAACATCGATTCATAAACAAATTTTCCTGTTTATGTTAAAGAAATAATTAGAACAGATTTATTTGTATTTTTTATGATTAACTGTATTTTTATATAAGTACCATTATTGACAATTTTCCCGATCATATCGGGTTGTTTAGCCTGGGAAGGATCGCCGATGGCGAGTTTTCGGACCTTTGTTCGGCCATATCGTGGGATATATGTATGAGTCATGAAAAAAATTTCGTAACACCGGACTTATTATATTCGCCACAAGTGTCCCTTCGCTTATAATTTCTTTCAATGGATGTAATGGGATAGTATAAGACCTGCAAAGTAGCAAGAAAAAATCTTGTTAACAGTCATTTCAAAAAGTTGCTTAACTAAGAGATATCAAAACTTACAGATGTTCAAAGAGAAACTTCATTCGTCGAAGAAATTCTTTCTCTGCTGTTGAATTAAATTTTTTCGAAAAAGATTCAGTGATGGTTTCGCGAAGTTCGTGTAATCCACCATCATTATCGTCAAGAGCAATCTAAGCAAGATAGTCAGTAAAGGGAACATTGCAAAAGAATGATGATAATAAAAAAATACGAACCTCAATGTACTCTTGTAGGATTGATTTTACGCCCTTGTTACTTTTTCTTTTCCGATTAACTTTGATTTAATATCCTTTCTAAGATCTTCGAGCGTTTCCCTAGAGAACGTTTTTACTTGCGTTTCCGAATAATTATCCATTTGTAGTAAAAGAATATGGGATAGACTCCTGAATTTTCAAAAAAAAAAAATAATCAACCTCCATCAGCAAAGTTAATCATTAAAAAGACATTCCATTTAAAAGTTCTACCTACAATATTTCGTGATAATTTTTCGTCATTATCAGACCAGAATTTTGCGCATGAGCTAACGCTTTGGATCGATATGACTCAAATAGTGACGATATGTTTTTTGTTTTGAAAATGAACTATAAAACGATTATTGTTTTAAAAAAATCGTACTTATAATCAACCTTAAGAAAAAAATATACTTACAGGTTGATCATTTCGATCAACGTACTCGTCAAATCCCATTTCTTCCACGTTTAGCCTTAACTCACATTCATCGTCACTTTCATCACTTTCTGATTCGTCATCATAATAGTCATCATCTTCGGTCTTTGTGCGCTTCCTTGGCTTGTGAAGTACAAAAAATTAATATACACGTAAACCTTTGTATAATACATTATTTGTGTTACATTTATACTAACCTTTTCGTTGCTTTCACAATCTCGATCTGGTACTCGCTTCGATTCAGGAGTATTAACATACAGAACAGTGTTCTAGTACCAAAATTGCACGGTAATTCATTATGGATAAGCAACAAGGTTTAAAAAATGCACATCTACTCTCACAGAATAACTTACATCGTCTCTTAATGTGGATATCGTTTCATCAGACACAATCGAACGTATTTCCTTTGCTTCTTCGATGGTTGTATCCAACGCAGATTTTGCATAGTTTAACTATTAAGTACGGTTAAGTCAATTTCTCATTAAAATAAGAATCTATAGATGATAATCTGTTCACCTTGGTAAGTTTTATCGAGTCCGATATCCAAAAAGCTTCTACGTCTGGGGACGATTTCTCGTCCTTATAAAACAGAGAATATATTAGTCTAATCAAATAACCAAAACTTATCATATATTCAAGGGAATAGGAGATATATTCCATGAAACGAGACGTAGTCTAACAACCAGAAAGGCGTAGTTTCTAGTTGCAACATGGAAATAGAGGCGTAGTCTATTCCCCGAGGGAAGACGTGGTTCACTATCACTGGCCGAGACGTAGTCAGCCAGCTACTCAGGGCTTCTATCTCAGTTAATTAATAATAATAAGTATTTATATAAAAAATACGTACATTAAAAGCGTCAAGACATTTTTGAGCTTGGGCACATTTTTCTTTTGATTCGTTATTTGAAATAATTTTATCAAGTGCTTTCACATAATTCCTATGCTCTTGAAGTTTGTCTCTTATGAAATCTTTTGCCTGTCGTCTGTATTGCAAGAAAGAAATCAACGACCAGGTTGCGTGTTCTTCAAAGTATGTTTGTGGGTCACCCATTTTAAGTGGTGGTATTTGCGACGGGTTACGCGTTATAATTTTTACTTCACTAAAGCGTGACAGCGATCAGCGCATGCTACTGATTTTATGGTGCCGGAAGTCTATACTCGACAATCACGTGACTTTTTTTCAATTTTCGACGGGGTTCCTTAACCTGTACCCTGGGTGTAGGCCTTTATCCTAGACCCCCTTTTCTCAAAATATGATTGGTTTAAATCAATCTTCATCAGCCACATATTTTTGTATAACTTTTATCTTAGAAAATTTTTTCCATACTTAAAATTTTTTTTTCGCGCTTTTAAAAAAAATGAAAATATTTTATATTTTCATTATTTTCATATATTTTAAATGGTAAAGAATAAAAAAATAA